TCAGGCTGGAGTGTAGTGGCGCCATTTGGCTCACTGCAACCTCTACCTCCCTGGTTCAAGCAATTCTCATGCCTCAGCCACCTGAATAGCTGGGATTACAGGTGTGTGCCACCATGCCTTACTAACTTTTGTATTTTTAGTAGAGATGGGGTTTCACCATGTTGGCCAGGCTGGTCTCGAGCTCCTGACCTCAAGTGATCCACCCACCTTGGCCTCCCAAAGTGCTGGAATTACAGGCGTGAGCCACTGTGCCCAGCTGGCAGTTTTTTCTTTGAAAGACTTGTGCTTCTAAGCAAAACCCTTGGTGATTCTGATGTCTCTTATCCTCCTCCTAGCACCCCTGCAGTGGACCATGAGTCGGTAATGCCCACTGAGGACCTCTGGGAGCCATGTCAGACGAATCTGCCTCAGGGAGCGATCCAGACCTGGACCCGGACGTGGAGCTGGAGGATGCGGAAGAGGAGGAGGAGGAGGAGGAGGTGGCAGTGGAGGAATGTGACAGGGATGATGAAGAAGACCTGCTGGATGGTAAGTGGGCTCTACTGAGTGGCAGAAATTGCCTTATATTTTCCTCCAATGGAATTTTTGCTGGGAGACTTTGGTGTTTCCAGTGGGATTTCTTAGGCCATCCATAGTGAGAAGACACAGACTAGGAACTGAGATGCAATGAACTCAGCTGCTCTTTCCTAGGAAGTGGATTGTTGTTCCTCCACATAAGCTTTGTTTTACTGCTGAAAGAACCTTCAGCCTTTAGCTTGTCTCTGACAGATTTATGGACTCAGGTCCAGAGATTCGAGTGTTACATACTTGCCCAGGTTATGGAGGAGTCAATGGCAGAGTCCCTATGGTAAGACTTTGCAGTCTGGAGGCCATGGGCTCTTCAGGTAGATGTGAGGGTAACTGTGAGTGGTCTGTAAGTTTTCTGAAATTATACATACAATTCTGCTTGTGTGTACATGAGAGAATTCCCCAGGCAGAGATTCTCAGACAGTTTCACAACTTCAGAAAGGTCACTGCATCTCCTGCAGTGCTGCTCTACCTCTTAGCCATTCCAGTGACTATAAATTGCTCCTACTGGGAGGGCACTGCATGTCCATAGCTGGTAGGCCCCCTTTTGATGGCTTCTATTTGGTTTGCTCAGCTCACTCCTTTCTTTGCCCTCAGCTTCTTGAAATGGCATTGGACTTTTAATGTTCAGTCTAATGTTAGGTCATTTGGCCAGCCACAAGACTTCTCAATTAATTCCAGCCTTTTATGGCATGGGATTTAGTTGTTTGTAAGCTTCCTACTGACTGAGGAATAGGGTTTTTGTCTGTTCATAGCAGACCCCCTAGTGGAACTGAACGTTGCATTAGATCATCTAATTACTTGAATCTGAAGGAACATAGGAAAATGCACTCCTGCCATTCTGCAGATTCCAGGAGGATGAGCACTGATCCTCCGTCTTTGCTGATGTTTACTATCTTCAGTTCTCATTCATCCTAACAGCTGTCATGTGGCTTGGGATCCATTTGCCCTCCTTTATACTGTCTAGAAGCCTCTCTCCATTTCTGCAGGGAAATGACCATTCACTTTTATCCCCCCAATAGCATTTGCTGTCCATTGCTAGCTTATTCAGTTGGAGTCTTATTTCTAGAAAGTAGAATGAATAGAAACAATGGAAGACAGTAATGTTTGCTTGGTTCTTATTATTCCTGAGATGATGTTAGAGTCCCTAGGTGTCAACATCACTTTTTGCTTTTCATCATTTGGGTTCTCATAACTGTATTTACAGACACCCTTAGAACTCCCATCAGGTTTAGATTGGATTTTAGATGCTTCTGGTGAATGTAATGGATATATACACACTGTCTTCCCTGTTGGCTTCTTGGAATTCTCTTTTCCTTGTAAAATTGTTAATTATTCAAAAATTATGATATGCTTCTGCAGACTTTACTATTATTTAGAAATGACAACAATTTAATTGTGATTTGTCTCAGAATAGTGTAGCTGTGCAATTCGATTTTTTTTTTTTTTTTTTTTTTGAGACAGAGTTTCTCTCGTTGCCCAGGCTGAGTGGAATGGTGCCAACTCGGCTCACTGCAACCTTCACCTCCCGGGTTCAAGCGATTCTCCTGCCTCAGCCTTCTGAGTAGCTGGGATTACATGTGCCTGCCACCATTCCTGGCTAATTTTGGATTTTTAGTAGAGATGGGATTTCTTCATGTTGGTCAGGCTGTTCTCGATCTCCTGACCTCAGGTGATCTGCCTGCCTTGGCCTCCCAAAGTGCTGAGATTATAGGGGCGAGCCACTGTGCCCAGCCTTAAATACTTTTTTCAAATTTTGAAATGACTCATTTTTATTGAAGTTCAGAGTGATAAACAAACGTCCCATTAGACACTATGTCCTGCTGTGCTCTGCTAGGTTAACTGACTTCTTGGAATTTGACTCATGGACCATCTTTTATATTTCACTACAGTGTTAGAGCCACAAAAGTAAAAGTGATACTTCTGTTACTTGTAGTGTCTTTTACCCTATTTTACCTCTTAAAGCTTTTTTTTTTTTTTTTTGGTTGGCCCTGGCTGGAGTGAAATGGCGTGATCTTGGCTCACTGCAGACTCTGCCTCCCAGGTTCTAGCAATTCTGCTGCCTCAGCCTCCTGAGTAGCTGAGATTACAGGTGCCTGCCACCACGCCCAGCTAATTTTTGTATTTTTAGTAGAGACGGGGTTTCTCCATTTTGGCCAGGCTGGTCTTGAACTCTTGACCTCAGGTGATTCACCCACCTCGGCCTCCCAAAGTGCTGGAATTATAG